AGGGGGGGGGGTTAGTGGGTGGCACATCTGCAGTTCACTTCAGAGCGTTCCAGCGTGGTCCTACAGTTTCTCCTTTTCCAACTAAAGCTGCCAATAGTTCGCTTTCCTCCCAGCGGCCGTCTTTTTCCGAACTGCGTTTGGGAAGTTTTTTGTGTTTTTTTCCCCAGCTTCTCCGGGCAGAAAACTACCGGGGACTGGGGTCGCGCGCGGGGGGGGGGGCCTTTGTCCTACATTCTTTGATGCGAGCACGTCAAGTTTCAGACTGGCGTCCCGGCGGCGGTGCATAGACGAGTCCCCCCCCCTCCACCCCCTTGTGTGTAGATGAGCCCAACAAAAGGTACAGAAGATGGAATTGCATAAATACCAACAATGCTAGTGCATAGTCGCTCGCATCCACAGGCCGGGACCAGGTGACCACATTTTGGTCTTCGGGTGGAACCTCGAAAAAAACGGCGAAAGGCCCCCCCAGTCTGTTTGGGACGCCGCACGTTTTTCTGATAAAATGACGTCCGATTCAGTCAGAGAGCCTCGAATAGATCAAAAACCTGATGGAGCATTAACGAAAAAGCTGCTAAAATATTTCATGCAATGACACCTGGTTCTTCCTCTTTTTCTTTTTTTTTTTTTAAACATGTTTTTCTTCCCCTCTCAGGTTCTGAACGCAACGACCAGTGTAAACAGCGGGGCATTCACCGGTGGGCATGAGCGGCTCTGAACCGGAATGGGGACCTTAATGGAGCTCGCCTCAGAAAAACCTGACGCCAGAACTCCGATTAGCTCGCCTCAACGGAACTAACATCAGCCTTCAGCATTCAGTAACCCTCACACACAATAAATGTTAGCATAAACCTGAAAAACAAGACAACTGAAAGACCCCCCCCTCCCAAAAAAAAAGAAACAAACAAAAAAAGTTGTTCAGCTTATTTTCAAGGGCTTACCATAAGATATCAAAAAGCTAATTTTTTCAAGTAAATCAGAAATCATTTCAATTAACGTGCATTTTTCTAATCAAACTTTTTCAGTGAGTGCTTTTTTTTCTTTCCTTCCTGAATTCTGAATTTAAGTTTACGTTGGGTTTCGTGGCCGCTGGCAACAGGATACAGCAAAAGAACAAACCAACCGACCGACACAAAAAAAGAAATAAAACGAAAAAACAAAACAAAAAAACCCCGACTCCATGTCTCATATGGGAGTAAAGAGCTGCTTTTCGTTTGGTGACGTTGGACTCTCCGACATACCGCCTCCGGCCGGGTGTAGTAATACTGTCCGTGTGCCGCTGACCCGTGGGGGCTCTTGGCCGGTCGGCTTTTTCCGAACTTCTTAAGAGGCCGAGAGAGGGGGGGCTCCGCCGCCGGAGAACCAGTATTCAGAGAATCTACAGTACAAGTCTGACACAGAGCTTAACCACTGGATTTAGGAGTTTGGATAATGCCAAAAACAAAAAAAAAA